ATAATCAGTTTGGCATATTCTAATCACAGCATTAAACTGATTGATCTTGTGTTTTAATATTCTAGGATATTATTTCTCCGTCAACAAATTCAAACACTGGAGGAGCTAAAATCCCAAAATTCCTTCATGTCTGATGATTCTTAGTGTAAGAAACTTTATAAAGTAATTATAATTACAATCTATAATTAATTCATGCAAAAAATAAAACATAATTATTAATATTCTCATTAATATTGAATAATTAAGATTGTACCTAAATTATAATATCATGATAGAAGTGATAAAAATAGTAATGAATATGGGCTGCTCAGAGAGGATTGGCTATTCCGTTTATCAGCTAACGAGTCTTATTAATTAATTAGGAAACCCACCTCTCTGAGAAGCACAGGAGGCCTATCCAAACACACAAACACAACACACTAAGTAAATAGAAAATGAATCTATTCTATCAGTTCATTGCAAACTATTGAATTGTCCACATCGTCTTGTATTACCTATGTTATACGTGTCAATGTTTCATATCCCAAGATTAAGCGGCATTTTAACTAGTTGAAACATTTTTGTTGTAAATCTCGGAATAAAATTCGTGCCAGAAGTTTTAATTCAGTTCTTTATCGCCATTGTCTCACCTAATTCCCACATGTTTGAAAGGAAATAGCTTTGCTTTGTAATAATCATAGCAATCTTTTTCTTCCATTTAAAAATTTTCCCTAATATATAATACTATAAAGAAAGAAAAAAAATATTCAGACACTTTGTATGTAACAAAAATTTTTGGTGGACAAAATTAAAACTTGTATAAATCTTGTAAATAATTTTAGAGATTTACAATAATCTAATATATGTTACTTATTCTCAGTGTTTTTTAAAAGCATCTTAACACTGCATTACTAATGCAGATTGTACAGAGCGTGCCAAAATTTCATAAATAAGTCAAACACTTAGTGTATCTTAATCATAGATAAGTTTTATTTTCTGCATAACTCCTCATACAGCTGTGCAACATAAGAAAATTAATTAGGTTTTATTATTATATAACTCTTGTAAGCGGAAACTGAATGCGTAGACTTTATAGTAGACGATGTGACATAATAATTGAAATTTTTAATCAATAATAATGGAGCTATTTTATGTGGAACGAAACCTTTCAATATTTAATTTTTAATCGCTTATTTTTGTAATATTTTTTTAAATACGAAAGAAATATATACTTTGCCCACTCTAATTTTGTTCAAAACACGAAAAAGATTACTTTGCTTTTTCTGTACTTTGGACTGAAATATATTATATGCTTAAAACAAAATATTTTTTTTACTAAAAGCACGTAAAACAGATGTACATATATTGTTCAGGATGACAAAACCACGAATACTACAGTAAGTTATAGTATGGATTTCTTATTTTGTATATTTTCTTTGAGGAACTGTTAAGGAGTGAGCTTGATAATTACAGAAATAAAAAGCAATGTGAAACGTAATCATAAAACAAATACATTCGATTTAAGAATTCGAGACTGCGACTGAATTCTAACATTTGTTTTCAGATTACTTTCTGTATGCGAACCGAAGTGTTTTTACGAAGTACTGAGTGCATTTTTGTCCTCACATATTTGATTACTAAACAGAAAATTAAAGTTTAAAGTACAATTACATTGTATGATAATTGTACATAGTTAAAAACTCTTTGGTTCGCATCACCTAAATGCCCTCCTAAAGTCGTTATTTTACTAGCTACAAAATAAAATCGTTAAGCCAAATTAAAAATCATTATTTTCACTTGATATTTTTCATGTATCCTAGTACTGTATAATATAATTATTATGGGTACAGCGGAGGATAGTGTTAAGAATAATAATAGTAATAATGTTAACGTGAATGTATCCTATTTACGGTGTTTCTCAACACGAGCTCAATAGCCCTCGTCATCTCAAATGTTACGCATCAAAGCAACGTCACATTTATTCAATAAATTATACAATATGAGGCTATCGAGTTTTTCATTCGTCAATTACATTTATACATTCATTCTGCAAATAGGTGGTACTTCCATTCTATGTAATATACATTAATATTTTTATTGTAGTCTTGTTTTCATTACTATTTACGTAGTTTCGAATAAACTAAATATATTTGTGTTGATGCTTTCTTTGAATAAAAGATTCGCAATTTAATAACTTTGTTTTTGTTTGCATTCCAGAGTAAAAGAATATTGGATTATTTTAAGCGTATCTTTTCGTGTTTCATTTGTGCGAGTAAAGATTTCCGAATTATAAATGGTTTATCGGTTGAGAAACACCGATACTCCTTTACAATATTTTCTAACATTATACCATGTCATGAGAATGTTATAACATCCCCATAGCACCTGAAGCATACAGTGAACATTCTCCCATGTACATTTTATTTAATTACAGTCAGTCATTGGACTTATTTTATAACAAACTCTCTCATTTGTGAACGTTAGATCATTGATTAATACATTCTCAATATAATCATTACAGATATTCGTGTAAATTCAGTACAATACATAATTTTCATGGATTAAGATTATAATAAGGCCTCAGAACATTTGACTCATTCTTTTACATCTCATAACTCATAAGATTTTTGTGCACTGTCTTTTCAAAATATCTTATTAATTTGTTAATAAGTGTTATTTTTATAAGCAAAATATTTATATTGATTGTACTAATTGTTTGTTTATTTTTCAAATGAAGTAATTAACTGCCGGCCAAAGAATTAACACTCAATTTTACAGTAGCAAGTTACTGTTTCTTACAATAATTTATAATAAATGCAAAGACAAATATTCTATGAGTCATGAGATGTTACGTATCTATTGTTGAACGATTTTAATGTAGTGCTCTTTAAATATTTATGCAAACACATTGCAATGGAGAGAACAAACTGCTACAAAACAATTCCAATATGATTTGCTTTACAATCGTTAATACATCTACATGACGCGCTCGTTATGCTTTTTAAGGCCATATACGAGATTTAATACAAAGGTACTGCCCCTTTCGGACTGCATTTGATATATTCATTAATTTGGAAATTTGTCTAGGGATAGACAAATGGACGACACAGCCTCGACAGAGAATGTTCACAGTGTAAGACAGCAGCGTAGACATATCTCAGCGCAGCCTCACTTTACCATTGGTTAGTGTTTCAGCTGGTAATTATTATACAAAGCTATAATTTTTTAAGTTACACAATATAACTACGTGCGGAAGAACCCTTCGTAGACAAGATTTTTTTTTTTATACAAAGGATAACATTAAGAGGTACTGTAAGTATTAACTAGTTGATTTCAATTATCGAATTGCTATAGATCTGGTTCTACGAGTAAACGGTAGATGTAATTTTAATTATACAGAGAAAAAATTGATTAATTACGTTGTTGATACATTTTTTACATACTTAGCAATACTGTTATAGCATAATAGGCAACAGCTACGAAGGGTATTTGCAGAGTATGCAATTTATAAATTATCAACATGAAATCAAGGTTTCTTTGTTATTTATTATCCTTGCTTCTTAATAATGTACGCAGAAACTAAAAATGCCTTAAAATCTATAATGTAAATATTACACAACATATAGAGTAACAATATGTAACAGAGTTGTTTTTACCTACATATCTATTATGGCAGAAGGTGGGTCTTGTGCCGAGTTATTCTTGGCTACTGTCAATTTTAAGCCAACATTATAGACGTAACTATCCTAATCTTAAATAGGACGTGCATGATTTCATATTAATTTATTAATCATCAACACGTCGACTAACTACTTTCTGCATTTAGGGACTTCTAAAAAGAATATCTGTTTTACGGTTCTTCAGTGTCACGGAAACGATCTTATTATACTTACATTTACAGAAACTAATATTACTCTCGGTAAAATTGCACTTATCATAAAAATCTGTAACTCCACGAACAATGTCATTGGAACGTAAAACGCTATATAAAAAAAAAAGTGAATATTAGAAGGAAAATAATTCGACCTAAAAATATATTCTATAAATAATGTTATTTGTAGTTGAAAATTATTTTCCTGTTTATAATTTCTGGCAATTAATTATAACTTTTTATACTATTTCTACTAATTTTATTGTAACATGTTCAGTTTTATTGATGTACATAGTAGAAGCAATGATAATATATAAAGTTGATAACAGTTTTAGAAACTCACTATAAAAATACATTTGATTTAGTAACAAATTAAAAAAAGTAACTCTTTAGAAGCCCCATAATAATTTATTTCCATTCAACATACTTCTTGATTCGTTTTTCATTCATTCTATGGTAAAACATGTAACGTTACTATAATTTAATTCTATTAAAATGGCATTCAGTATATTCTTATAGGATTAGTTCATTCAATATATAAAAAAAATATACAATTTCGACTACTCGATGCAATCGTTCAGTAATCGTGAGTTTGTACTATCCGAATGCCATTTTTTTTTTGTATGATACACTTTTTGGACTAGTACTACAAGACTGTAGAACTGCCCACAAAATCCTAATTAAAATATAATTAATGTCTATACGCAGTGGGACTTTGATATTCAGTCGATTCACAATACTCGTAACGTGTCAAAATTTATAGAAGAAACGAATAAAACAATCGTGTCTATCAACTGTATATTTCTCTTTCCTTAAGCTCTTTCGAGTTCACGTACCTGACTATGTAAAATCGTGTATACTGAATTTATTAAAAATAATTAGTCAGGTAAGAATGATTGTTTTTACATACAAATATAAGAATAAAGTCATTGCAATTCATTGCAACATTTCTTTCACTACAAAAAAATATTCTGGAATCAATGTATTTCGGCACTGTTTAGTGCATCTCTTTCTTCAATTACAAAAACATTGTCACGAGTTGTGAATGACTTGTACTTACCTGAGGGATATAATCCCACTCGTTATCCTCAACAAATTGCGCACATTTAGTGCTTTGTTAGGTTCTTTTTTACCGAGGTATTCTTCCGTTTCAGCAAATTAGTTTGTCACGTCAGTATATTTATATATAGTCTTGTTTGGGCAAGGTATTAGTAATGCAATGGCATTATGATCTGTCTCATTTGCAAAAGTGGCTTCATGCCAACATCGAAATATCATTTGTTATTATTGTATAATTTAAATAATTTATAATTTACAGATCCTGTAGAACACAAGTGGTTGTACGCAAGCATATCCCATTGGCAGATTAATATATTACATAAAATGCTTGGTATACCACCACATTAATGTGATCGGTCGGTATATGATATTTTCACTGTATCATACTGTAACTTTAGCATATATTCAAAAACATATTCACACACGCGGTTGCATAAAATAGATATAAAAAATGCACCCGAGTGTATGTACAACTAGGGTTGTATATTACTTTGCCTTCTACCGTATTCTTCTAACAGCTTTCTTGATTTTCCGTGGTGTTACAGTAGCTGCCGCACTGAAATAAAATACGATAATTTGTAGTGAACAATTTTTGTAATTAAAATGATAAATTAATTTATAATTTATACATACCTGAAATTTTGAGGCGCATTACCGCCAGTGAAATTAAACGATGGCCGAATATTAGGATCAAATGTTGGTGTAGTACTTGGAGGATTAAAATTATATCCAGTAGATGGTGCAGAAGCAGGTGCCTAAAAAATTATACCAATAGATTTTAATAAAATTAAATATTGTTAACATTATTTAATTGCAATAACTTAATTTTTATTATGTTTTATATTACTTACAATTGCACCGAAGTTAAAACCGCCTGATGCTACAGCGGGTGCTGCAGATCCGAAATTAAATCCTGTATTTGAAGGAGTAGATGAAAATGACGACGACGCTTGATTTTGTGTACCAGTTTGTGGTGTACCAAAAATTGGACTTGCTGCTGTAGGTTGACCAAATGCTGGGGTTTCCGGTTTAGGTGCATTGAATGTGAAGCCCGACGTATTAGTTGACGTAGGATTATTAAATGTGATTTGCAGAAAAGTTGAATCCAGTTCCTGGTTGTGCTACAGGTTGAGTAGTAGTGCCAAATGTGAATAAATTTGAACTAGGTGTAGTAGTTTCAATTGGTTTTGAGGTAGATCCAAATATACTAGGTGTTGACTCAGTAGTGAATGTCGAAGTAGTATTATTACCAAAAACAGGAGTGGCAGGTGTTCCAAAAGGTGTTGATGTAGCCGATGGTGCGCCAAATGGTGTTGGCGCTTGAGGAGTTGAATTGAATAAAGAGGTTGTTTTATTATCTGTACTTCCAAATACAGGTATTTTTGCGTCAGATGATCCAAAAATTGAAGGTTTATTTTCAGTACCACCAAATGTCGGTACCTTATTCTCTGGCATAGCAAAAGTGGAAGGTTTACTAGTGCTGGCACCAAACACAGGTTGTTTGTTTTCTTCAGTTGTAGTTTGTCCAAAAGTAGATGCAGTTTTTGTGTCATTATTACTGAACAATGGTGGAGCATCTACAATACTTGAGAACAATGGAATTCTAGAAGAGGAATTTGGTAATAATGTATCAAAAGTCTTGGTCATTGATGATCCTTCTGCTGTTTTTTCTTCAAATTTAAAGGTATTAGATAAATTAGAAATGGGAGCTGATATTTGATTAAAGGCTGATACAGGTGCTGTTTGTGCAGTTGATTTTGGTTTCAGAAATATAAAGGAAGATTGAGTAGAAGATGGAAGACTTGATACCACATTTGTAGAAGTACTGGTAGCAATTGCAACTGGGTTACTAAGTACACCAAATGCATATGTATTAGTTGGTTTAGTTTCTTGAGAACTGCTCTGAGTTACTGAAGGTAACACATTAATATTATTAGTAGCAGAAGATTCGGTGGTTTGTATGCTTGGCTTTGAAATTTCTGTTGCTGTACTCCCAAGCAAAGAATCTTGTTTTTCCTCTTTTGCATCTGATTGTACAATTTTAGGCTTAGGCACACCAAATGTAAAAGTAGATGGAAGTGTTGCAGAAGATGTTACATTTATAGGTTGCTTATCACTTTCTACTGTTCCACTTTCACTTTTTGGTATACCAAATGAAAATGTTGATGTTGGCTTTTTCTCCACTTTTTCTGAGTCTTGTTTTACATCGGTCTTTTCACTATTATTTGCATTAATTTGAAATCCAAAACCACTTCCTGAGGTTAGAGAGATACTGTTTTCAGGTTTCAGTGTTTCACTTAATGTTTTCTTTTCTTCTTTTTGGATACCAAATGTAAACTGACCAACTTGACTACTTTGTTGACTCTCACCAAATTTAAAACCCCCTCCTGTAGGTGCTGCATTATCAGTCTTTTCTTGACCAGCTTTGTCAATACCAAATTTAAAACCACCAGTGTTTGCAGGCATACCAAAACTAAACTGTAAATTGGAACTAGTAGTTGTAGAAGTAGAATTATCCAATTTTTTTGATCCTGGCTTTAAACCACCACAAGCTACACACTCAATAATTTTTGCTTCATTTTGCACCATACAAGTGTCGCAGTTCCATGTACCTTCTGGTTTTTTAAATTTATCTCCAAATCCATTTGCAAGTAATGGTGGAGCAGTTTTAGTAGTAATTCCAACACTAGGTTTTGCTGTATTGCAACATGGACAAGAATCAGCAGAAGCTACATTTCTTACCATACAACAAGGACATTCCCACGTATCTTTACTTAGTTTAAATTTATCCATAGTTTCATCTTTAATAGGATTTGCATTATTCAATGATGTACTGACCGACATACTAGTAATTTGTTTCGCAGATGTATTATCTGTAACATTCATATCCTTTTGTGAATTGGTCTTTAATGAACTTGATTTAGATGTACTAACAGAATATGTATTGGAACATTCTGAAGATTTTTCCAATGGTTTGACACTGTTGAGGTCAGAATTTGCTGAGTTTATTGCATTAAAGTTAGTTTCTTGCTTTGTATTTGGTTTAAGTGCACTACACACAAGACACTTAGTATCAGTTTGTTTGTTTCTTACAAGACACGATGTACATTCCCACTGATTACTTGAAAGCTTAAACTGTGATCCAAAATTATCATTCACTGTAGTCTTTGATTCACTGACATTGCTTGATACTAATGACAACTCAGGAGTCTTCTTATTTTTAAGATTTGGTTTGGCAGTTTTGCAAGCAAAGCACTGTGTTTCAGAATTGTTGATTTTAAACAAACATTCAGAACACTCCCACATATTTGAAGTATCTTGTACATTGGATTTTGAATTTGAAAATTTTGTAATATTATCATCTTTATTTATATCTGAAACAACTGTATCTGTTTTATCATTGACTGCATCTTTTTGTAATTGTAATTGCGCTTTTGTTTCACTTGATTTTTCAAGTTCAATTGTAGTAGGTTTAGAACCAAAAAGTACAGCAAAAGCGGAAGGAACAGTGTTGCCACTACTCTTTCCTTTTTCCTTTGGTCTAGGAGCTGTAGATGAACCAGACCAAATGAAGTTTTGTGTTACAGGAAATACATAGTCATTAAAAGGTGTATTAGATTTAGCACCAATTTTTTTTATAGGTGAGCTTGAATCATTAGACTTGTCAGTTGACTGCTTATCAGCATTAATTGGACTACTAAATGTGAAGTTATTGATAGATTTTAAATTCTTTGTAATATTCGTCACTTTTATAGGACTTGCAAATGTGAAGCTTTCTTCTTTGACTGTGCTAGTGCTATCTGCTGCCTTTGAATTAAAAGGTGGCATAAAGTTGAAATTAGGTAAAGAAGATATTGGTAGAGGTATGTTTGGTAAATTGACTGGTTCAACTGTTTGTTCTTGATCAAGGTTTGTTCCTTTAGCTTTAGTTTTAACTTTTCCCTGATGCTTAAAATCATCATCAGTTTGTGTTCTATAAAACAAAGTTTATAGACATTTATTTTATAAATAATAATAAATATGAATTTTTTATATAACACAATTATATATTTACCTAATTTGGTACTCTTGTGGAGGTGGAGGTTCGCTTCGAGCCGAAATAATTTTCCTAGCTGCAGCTGTTGTATCTTGTAATTTTTGACGTCGTCTCAATTTTAATATGTCGGGTACAGTTGGTACAGTTAATTCACGAGTTAAATGACGTAATCCAACTTTAGTTGTAGACGATGTTGTTTCTTCCCTTGTCCTTTTTTTATTTACTGATGTATTGTTTGTCATTTTTAATGGAATCTTTTTAGCATCAGTTATTGGTGATGAAAAATGTTCTAATGCTTCCAATATCTTTTTAGCAGTTTGACTCATACCAGATGAATCAACTCCTGCTGTATTAGATGGTTTTACTTCAACACTTGTTCTCTTAGGAATTTTAAGTTGAATCTTGAAATAAAAATAGTTTTGTATAGCATAAAAAAGATAAAGATTAATAAAATAGTAATAATAGTGGTAAATACCTCGTTTGAGCTGTTAAATAAGTTGCGACCTCGTTTATAAAGGCCAGCTGCATTTGCTCCACCAAAAGTAATATTTCCAGTGTAAAAAGGAGATGCCAAAGGAGATGCACGATCCGGCGTGTTTGTCAGGATTGATGCATTGAAACTTGGTCTGCGACTACTTAAGGAATCTCGGGTATGATTATCTAAAAATAAAGACCTCGGAGACTGCATATGATTGGCTAAAAAAAAGTATAGATTAAAGTATATTAAATACGAATCTGTGATCTTAACCCCTTAACCTATGATTTTTTTTTCTCACTATGCATCTAAGTGTTAGCCATTTAATGTTTTAGTACTGTATCAGGTAACAGAAGTTAATCTGTTACAGATTAATTACAGTTAATAATCCTCAGTTTTACAAATTAAAATGAAAGTTAAGATTGCAATTGATTTTTCTTACTAATAGAATTATTTTTGTCATATCTTGACGAAAATGTCTGACACGTTGTTATTGGTTAAGGGGTTAAATAAAAAACATTATATGTGTGCGTGTACATTTCAGTCAGATTCCGAAATCCGTCAATATCTGATCTAACTATACTGCGTTCAATATTAGAATAACCTCGCTCTGGGACCGAGTTTTGTCCGTTCTGCGCAGTTCCCACTACTACCTACCGATGTGACACATGCAATTGGTTATAGCGCCATTTCGGCTAGACCCAAAACCGACGACAATGTAAACAGTGCATAGAGTGGAGAGTACATATCTACCCGGTGGTCTAAAGGTATGCATACCTACTGTGCGGGTGTCAGCGCAGCGGTTTATGACAGACAAATAGTGGCTAGTTATATGAATTTAGGGAACGATTTAAATTCTATAAACATAGAGAAAATCATTTAAATTCTCAAAAGACATATTGTAAAGTACCTACTTTCATTAGAATCATCTTAATTGCTAAAGTAAATAACTCTGTATCCATTCATAAACTTGGTATAGGTTTCTGACACAAAATGTTTGAGCAGTTAGTTGGTAAATACTGATTAAATGTTAAGAAATTTTCATATTTAGTGTAAAATATTGAAATTGAAAATATCTCTTCAACGAATAGTTTTTCTGTATTAAAAATAGTTTCATTAAAATTTTCGAAAGCACTTGTACCTATTTATATGTTCGCCACTGTTCGCACTAATTCAAAGGTGAAACTTTTTTATTTTTTACCTTTTTTTAATTAAACTGGTAGTAACGTATTTATGAGATCTTTCTGATTAAAATGACAACAAACACGATATAATTTGGATTATATTTACTTATTACTTATTATCATTTATTAAGTAAACAAATATGCTCCAAATTATATCGTATTTGCTATCATTTTAAACAGAAAAATCTGACAAATATGTTGGTAAAAATTTCATTCGTTACAAATCAAAAATAAGAAAGTTTGATTTTTGAGTTAAAAGTCTCAGCTTATTTGTTTGTCCTCAACTACTTTAATACAGAAAACGTTCCAGAAAAAATATTCAAGATTTTCAGAGATAAAATTATGCATTGCAGCTACAAACTTATTGAAAGGTGGGCGGAAAGCAATCCGACAAAAGAACGATTTTTAACGCATAGTGTCGTATGATTAGAAAAAGAAATAAAATTTGAAGAATTACAAAACGGGTATGGAAGAAAATCAGAATAAATCTTCAAATCCTTTACGTGGTCGTAAGAAACATTCTTTTAACTATAGCAGCAATAAGACTAAAAAGAGAACAATACAAAAGTAAATAGATAATTAATTATATCATCGTGTATATGAAAGCGTCATGCCTGGAACAGTAGACGGAGAAAAACGTAAGTGGTTAAGTGGGGGGTTCGGACGTTCTAGCACTGCCTCAAGTCCGTCCCATGCGTGAAGTGAGGTTATTCTAATATTGAACGCATTATAGTTAAAACAAGTATTTTCAATGGTTCTTCATTAATACTAATATTAACTAGGTAATTCTAGAAGTAACCAAATTATTTGAGATCTCTTATAACTCATTTTGAATTATAAAGGCTTCCCTTCTTTTTGCAGACATCAGTTTGAAATACCATCTTTTTTTCAACTAGTTTTAACTAATAGCATATAATTAATTTTAGACTTAATTGGCCAAATCTAGTATTGACAAAATAGATTTATTACAATTAGTATTGACTAGAAAGATTAGATATTAATGGATTTTGAGATCTGACTGTAACATATATACACTACCGCTCAAAAGTATCCGGCACTTTCTTATTCTCTACAAAATGTAGCTTAAGTTAGTACAAAGGTGTTTACAATCATTTTATCTTTTGTAATTGTTATTATTATGTATACTAAAGTAACGTAGCACACTAAAATTTATTTTTATGTACAAATTATGTAACGAAAATGCAATAATATAATTCCTGTTTCATAAATACGAAACCTAATGGAACGATTTCGTTGCTTAAGAAGGTCTCAAGTTTTAGTTTATTTAATTTCTATGGTAGAGATCGATTTTAGAGAGTTTTCCGATATCTATTAAGTGTTTATAAACTGTCAATGATGTGTTTATGCTCTTTCGATAGAGATAAGAATGGAGATAACGCTATGCAGTCACTCGCTTTGCTTTAATTTGTCTGTAGCTCTTCCTATGTTCAGTTATGAATTCGAAACGAGAATTATCGTTAGAAAAACGTGCTAGTAACCTTACTCTTGCGGAAAAAGGATATTCAATTCGAGAAATTGCTTTAAGGAAGAAAATTCCGAAGTCGATAGTACATGATACTATCAAGAAGTATGCAGGAACTGAAAGTTGCTCATCAAAAGAAAAGAAAAGAAAAGAAAAGAAAAGAAAAGGACGACCAGTAAAAACTTCCAAATCTGAAGACTGTTACATTGAAACCATTAGCAAGCGTAATAGCGTCTTACTGTACCGGAAATCACCGCTGAAATTAATCGAACTAGGGAAGATCCTATTAGCGTGGCTACGGTTAAACGACACCTTTTTAAAGTTGGTCTCCGCGGATGTGTAGCTGTGAAAAAGCCTATTTTAAAAGCTATAAATAAAAAAAACAAGACTTAATGGGCAACTTGGGCAAAAGAACATAAACATTGGACTATCTCAGACTGGGAAAAGGTGTTATGGATAGGCGAAGACAAATTTGACATTTTTGGAAGCAAAAGACGTCAGTTTGTCCGCAGAATGTCGAACAAAAAATTAATAAGTAATTGTGTAGTGTCCACACTGAAACATAGGAGTAGTTCTGTTATTGTGTGAGGCTGCTTTGGTGAAAACATGGTGGGTGATTTAAAAAAAAAAAAAAAAAAAAAAGACGGTATCCTACGCAAAGAACAATATTTAAACATTTTGCGAGAACACGCTGTGCCTTCAGATAGCAGATTAATAGGAAAAAATTTTGTTTTTATGCAAGACAATGATCCTAAGCACAATATTTAGAAGCAAATCAAAATATATTAAAAATTATGAAATGGCCTCCACAGTCCCTAGACCTCAACTCAATTGAAAAACTATGGGATGAATTGGACGAAATTCGTATTTAATTTTATTATACTATTGATAAGTTTTCAAATAAGTAATTTTTAATTTAGAACGTCACTTATCCTATAAGAAAGTAATAAAGATTAATTTTAGATGTTTAAGCAACATTTATGCATTGCTATTATGTATTTCGTAAGTGTCCGGATACTTTTCAGCGGTAGTATACATGTCGAATATAAGAAAAACATATACACTATTATTTAACAAGGGGAGTGCACATGCTTGTGGAAACTGTTTTGAAGTTTAAATAATTACTATATATGCAGATCTAATTAAGATTTTGTCCAAACTGTCAGTGGTGTAGTGGATAGGTAAAGGATTTCTACATGAGGGATCAGGATTTGATTTGCATTACTGCTATTTCCTTTTTTATTTTATTTCTCATGTATCTGTAAACATATTTGGATGGTACTTACTATAAAAATATGAAAAGTAGCAAGCCTCCTTGCAACATGTATGCTCAATAAAATGCATACTATTACAATATGAACATTTTGTTTTCATTGAAATATAGAAACATTGATTATACATTAATGAATATATTGTGAATATAAATCAATATGTTCTGTATTAGAACTAATGACAACAAAATATTCATACTACAGAAATACACCCTTTATTTAGTATATGTATTGTAAAAAAGCTTGTTGCTCTTCAGATCTTTATAATAAATATCATCCAACTATGTGTTCTACTAATGTGTGGGATTAATATGTAGTAAGTGTTTAATGTCATTTAATTTTTTTATAAATGTACATAATTTAACAGCATATAAGAAAGAAAATAAAAAAAGAAATAGCAGTAATGGTAAATTGAACCCTAATCACTCATATATATATACAAATTATGTAATCATTGTATTGCTAGTAGCTTCAACAAAGTGTTATGCAGATTTATATATGTTATAATTATTTAAAATGTAAGACTCAATGTTTTAAAAATACTTGAATGGTTCAGTCTATTACTATGCCACAAGAATACCCTATAAGAAGTATTATTGTTATATAAATGCTAAGCCGAATCAGTTTCCCCAAGGACATGCACTCTCCTTGTAAATATAAAAGATGATAATACTGTTCCAAAAAAAAAGAGTAATTGTACTTACTGAAACTTAATTTGTCATCATTAAATCTTTTTCTATTGGAAAATGAGGAGTTGTAAGAGACATTTGATGGAGCCTCTTGTCTATTTATTTGTGGAATAAGAGAGCTACAACCACTTGTGCTCTCACTGGATTCAGAATTATCATCCGTACCATTTGTAGTTCCATTGTTTGTAGTAGCAACTAATGAATTTAACTCAGACCTCTGAGATGCTGTATTTCTAATATCCGATTGTATTACAGGTGTAGAAGATACTAAATGGCTTATCCCGCTTGGTCCAGCCATTGCAGGTTTAGAAAAATCGTCGGACTACAATAAATTAATAAATGAAAAAAGTGTTTTCAAACTGATACTATTTTTGTACGTTATATTTACCATTTCATTATGAAATGAATATTGTTGTTTAGATGAACTGGCTCTGTTAATTGTTGGTTTAGTTCTTGGTTTTATTAAAAATGTACCAGGTGGATGAGTAACATCCATACGAATACATGGTCGCTTTAAGGGTGGAGGTTTTTGAATATCTTCTTCCGACTCAACCTCTTCAGGGTTTTCATTATCATCTAACATATCTCCTTCATTCTGAGATGAATTAAACCACTTACTGATCCATGATCTTTGTGGTATAAGATCTGTTACTTTTGTCGCCACTTTTTTTACAAATGACTAAAATAAAGACGAAACAATTGTAGGCATATCATATGATTATAACATTCCTATATACAACATTAATTGTGTATATTAAATTGAATAAAAACTTTTTAATGAAAAAATTGATCATGAAGTGGAAAGAATAGATAGGTTATATGAACACTTTATTATTTACAAAATTAAATTATTTATGTGTATTAGACATGCTATTGTTTATATTGTAGTTTTAATTCAGTATGTATTCAAAGATAATTTCAATCCTTAATAACAATATTAATGATAAAAAATTAACTATGAACATATAAGGTTTAGCTATAAATATTATGCCAAAGAAATATGTGTAAGTGCGTAAATACAGTAACAATATAGTACATAAAAAAAAGGCACTCTTCGAATTGAGGTTAAAACATTCGAACGAATAATAAATTAATTAAATTATTAATTAATTTAGCTTAATCAAGTAAAATGATTATTACCATCAAAAAAATTATTTAAAAAAAAATTGCAAGATATTGCGTGAATTTGCGCAAAACGGAATTTTCAACGTCACGCGTATCTTCTTCACGCATAGACTAAATGTGAATGTACATCGATAACATTTAAAATTTCTGAGAACTGACAAACTGGTAAGTTTACGGAAATCGTAAACTTATCGAGTGATAGATTCTCAAAGATTTTCCTCGTAAGGAATTACGTTTCAAGGTTACATGTTATAGGTGTCTCGATAGGTATCTCGTGATTGAAGTAGTATGGGAAAGATTGAGGTTATCGAGTGGACTCACATAACCGTGACATCGTCTAGGTCCGATGAGACTGCATCTTAGGAAAAGGGCAATCGCGCAAAGAGTAGTCCGAAAGGGAACAGGTACACAGTGGAAATTCGTTGGAGAATCTAATTTAGGCGATAAGGCGCGAAGAACCGTTGGGTACGGAACAGGTTCCTTTCTGTCGCGGGGGTTTCGTGCCAAGGAGATACTACTCACATTGTTTGCGTCGTAGGGCTTCGTATTACGCGACGATGACCGCCTTCCACTCAAATTGTTACTCCCTTTAGCCATGATTGGCACCTATCACTTATTTACGAGTATAAAACGCGCGAGAACGTCTTCGAACGGCGCATCCCAGAAATTGTCAGTAAACCACCACCTTCGTGACTGAAACCCACGAGAGAAAATATGGCCGCCCCAAAGACCGCCACCAGGGCGCCAGGTTTCTCTCGAATATGCGCTCGTCGCGCTTGCCCACGTGACACCGTATGCGCTCGCTGCCTTAAAATCGGCGTACCGCTATCTGTTCTTACGATCGCTTTCAAAAAAAGAACGTGCACAGACTCTGTATCTCGTTTATAGATAGCGCTACCGCTATATGATCTGTTGATATATTATCGACTCCTTACATAACCTGTATTTGTTCGATTGATTTTCTTCTCACATAAGTTTGTTAAATTGAACATAACATTCGAATAAGTTAATGTATTTAATTTAATACTATGAAAGTGATCTAGAAGTATGACTTTACATTTTATATATTGTTTATTTATTAAGAATAAATTTTAAGATAGTTCAACTTATAATAATATCGTAAAAGAATTTTAAAAAGTCAGTTAAACGATCATTGAATTCAAATAATCGTTTCCGTTATATTCCAAGAAACTGTTCCCCTCTACTTTACTACAGAGCCCTCTACTTCCGGTCATAAGTTCTACAAAGTTCTGCATATCATTTTTCATATTCTTTCTTCAATTTATAATTATGTTTTCTGCACACTGTAACATTACGTTGTTTATTATTTTACTTTGTTAGTTTAACTTCTAGTTATAATTGTAAATACATATGTATCTTATTTCGAATACTATATAGTGGTTAGTAAAAAAATGAAGATGAATTCATATTAAAGTGGTGCTATGTATTTACATATACATACATGTATTATTAAATAGATCGAAGAAATTGAACATTGAAATTAAAATAAAGGTACATATTTTTAATCTTAAACAATTCTTATTTTATTTCGATTTATCGACGGATAATAAGAAACATAGTATGATGTACAACCGATAATAAGGATACTTACTTTCTAGTTTACCCATTTTATTTAGGATATAATTTTTGTTATAAAAGTTACGGAAATTGGTTAGTTTTTTGTTGAATAAGTTTAAACATCTATATGTGTATACAGTAATATTACATCATGATAGAATTACAAACTCAAATAATTCATAGTACATATTCAAATTTAATTTCTTTGGTGATTTTTGTAACAAATTGAATTATTCTTTATTAGCACATATATTTTTACTTAAAATTCATAAAATTTCATTATGATTTTAAAATTAATGTTTACAAATAAGTTTACTAGTTATTCAAATTTTAAAACTATTAATACTAATATCAATAATCAATTATTGAATGCTTCATTATTCGTAATAATACTCCATATTTGACAAACTTTTAATGATAAATAAAAATAACTATATCTAAAGGGAATTTCGATTATTTTAATATACTTTATAATTTATTTTATGAGTTATTTTTTATTTACAACGTGCATGCATTATTTTATAAGATTCATCGATCGACAGCTAACAATTAACCTCTTTTTTTATTTATCTCATCGTGTCTCGGAATTGTTTTGGCCAACATCATCGATAGTATCTCTGTTATTATATTTGTGATTCCCACGATAAATCCCGTGAGATAATTATCCATGATATATTTAATTATACCCTTGCATGCATGTGTGTATATATGTACATACATATATCTTTACTCTGTTTTTGACTTCTCATACTCAACCTTTCTCTACTATTATACATTTAAATGTGTGACGATTTATTGTATGTCAATTAATATTGTTTACCAAATGTTTAACAATCATATTTAAAAGAATATTTTTAGATTCCTATAACAACGAATAAGAAATAATTCTCTACGAAATACAGACTAGAAAAGACGATATATTGCAAAATATGCTTGTGTATTTTATGATAATATCTACTGTATGAAATTTTTCTCTTTAAGAATAGTATGTAAATATTTAACGTATATTTAAATATTTAACGTATACAAAAGAATAATGCGTGTAAAACACGTTTCACAAAGTGACCTCAGGCAGAGAAGTGAGGAGAGCAATTTCGAAGTATATACATATACATATAGTACATACATATTAAGAGTAAAACGTGACACGATCACTTCTCTTTTTATCGAGTTCACGTCATGAGGGAATTCAAAAGGCGTGATTCATTGGACCATTCAGAGAAATGTTTCCGAATGATGTTCCTAGGCGGAGCCAGTGTCAAACAATTGCAGAAAACAAAAGAAACAGACGGTTCTCTGGGTTCCAATATTAAAAGAGCTGGCGATATTTTTTTCCTCCTCGATTCATGGAAGGAGCTTTCACGTCGCGCTACATTCTTTGGAACATTATCTCGTTTCGATCAATTTGACCCGCAATTGGTTAATTTAATACGGTGAAACTACTCTATCTATCGGCAATCTCGTGGTTATTGTGTTAACGTCACTAACTGCATGATTTCGAGCGCCGATATCGAGACTAATAATTTTATAGGGGAGGCGTTAAGAATTATGTCCTATTATTTTCGGTAATTATTTATGCTTAGGTGCATATTATTATGGACTATGATATGTGTAATAAAGTTAGAATATCTCTTGTGCGAATATTGGTTATTAATATGGATTCGGTTAAGGAGAGAGACTCGTATAACTCGCTAAAAATAAGCTGATATTTGTGAATTTTTTCTTAAGAAACAATTAAATAGATCTTTTTGAAACTTTTCGAATATTTTATTGAACATCTAAAAATGTAGAAAATATTTCTTTCCGTGTAAAATAATTCGATTATTATAAACTGTAGAGGTATTTACCACGACCTCTAGGCGTGCAGTCCAGCACTCATTGAACTCGCCTAAAACAAAAAATCGAGACAATTTCCTTTTTTTTAAAAGATTAATTTGTTTCTTTGTTCATCAATTTATTGTTAGTTTCAGTACTTTCAAGAATACTGAAAATTGTTGAAATCAAATTTCAGATAGGAACTCTAAACTGATAAATGACAATATTATGAATACACATTAATATTTCAAATCTATTCAATATTTTCAAGTACAATTTCCTTTATAAAAGTTTTATTTTTTTGTTGTTACATATTGTGAAAGTCATATAAGCACAAATACATGTATGTTGCTACATATTTGAGTAGTGGTCTTACATTTTGACTACGTAATTTTAAATAAACTAACATTTAGAACTTTTATTCAAAGATTTAGGTTCTACTCTGATACGCATTAATTCGTACAAATTTTAATATACACACTTTTATCAATTTTATATATGAAGTACATACATATATTTTCAAATGTTTATAACTTTTCAAAAAAATGACTTACTTATTAATAATAATGCATAATCACAGATGAAGTACTGCATTAAAATTTTTAAATATAAACTCAAATAAAATTCGATGAAATAATCTTATTTTATGATTTTTTTATATTTATGTAGTATGCATGTACATATATAGATAGTACACATACTTACTATAATATTTACATACATATGTAGCAAGTACACATGTACCTATATATTATAGTAAGCCGTTAATATTTTTTTGTATAAAATCTTTATCGAATATTCGTTACAAAACACTGAAACAGACTGTACTTACTATAGAAATAACAGGTGGAGGACCGTTAGTGCAACTGGCTTCGGACTTCCGTGGATAATACGCGGAATTGGTCGTGTTTCTAATACTTGAACATTGTGGAACATGACATGGAAAGAAACCGATGCTACCTTTATGTAAGTTATATATCATTAATATTTTAGAAGATATTTATCCATTACAATTTCCAATTTAAAGAATCGAATACCAAATTTAGTATTTTTTTTTTTTCAGTACCTGTACCGTGTTAAAGAACGTAAGGATCATTCCATTCAGTTTAATTTGATTCTTCCTAAGAAAGCACGTAAATAGATGATCATTTACAATTCAACTTGGGGATTAATTTTCACATTTTAACAATAATGTTATTTCTCGCAAAATTTCTGCTATTTTTCGAAAACTTTTATATTTATAAAGATCTTTCTCTTATGTTATTATATTCGCATAAATTTAAACATTATCGAAAGCTTTAACCTATTTTAACCCTTTCGTGACCGAATAATTTTTTGAAAAAATTTATTATTTATCTACCGATCGTTGAATCTGCAATGGATAGTAAATCGCGATAAATCTTTGATCGAGTACTCAAGTGGGACATGTGCGTCCCACTGGTCACGAAAGGGTTAATTACTACTCTACGTGTACGCGGACATTTACAATAAGCAGGTATGACTGAATTATAATTACAGTTACAATTTACCAGTAATTATTAATCATTATGGTAATTTAATTATTAGTAAATCAAGTTAATTTACCAATAACGATGAATTATTAATCATTAAATTATGATAACGATTAATAATTAATAATTAGTGAACAGTAACATAAATCATAATTGTTTGTTGGTAATTATAAACATATTTAGCAATCATATTATTATACAACTATAGTGAAAATGAACAATGACCCATTCAGGAAATGAAATGTGTGTACAAAAGTGAAACTTGAAAGGAAGGTGACAAAATATTTTTCTTCTAGTCAGCTTATACCGGATGCAATGATGTCAGGAAATTAAATATTTTGCATGAACGTTTTCACATGAGTCACACGGTTAACAAATTTCGCGTGGCTTTCTGCTACAAATAAGAAAATAAATGGCGGGTGAGACCTTCGTCGGTTGATCTACTTACTTCGGCTTCATTTTCTCGGACTTATCGCACCTTTAGACCAGATGTAATTTTCACGCTCCGATAGAAATCCCGTGTATCTGATCTATCACTTAAGAAGAGCGAAAGCTATGCGCATATAAATTGGCACGAGGAAAATCTTGATGAACTTGTCTCAATAACGACACGATTTTCTTTAGAACGTTCTCGTAAGAAGAAACTTCGACGTTTAACAAGACGCGATTAGAATTGATTCGAAGTTTATTACTCTGAACGAAGAAAGTAACTCTTAAATACGTGCCTACAGTTTTTATTCAAATGAAATATAGCGAAGAACTTTCTTTAAAATGTTAGTAAGAATTTGTTGTTATTCTAGTATTTCACAATTTCTATGGAAATAGGAAAAGTAAAAATATTGA